GTGGATTGTTGTACATGTGACAAGCAAAATGAAAGATGGATAGAATACCATCTCCAATGGAATTGTGGATTGGAAAATTGTGGGCTACACGTATAACAATTGTTGACTTATGTGGTGGAGAGGAAGACACGTAAAGAGAGGAGGTAGTGGAAGTTGAGGTAAATTATAAAAAATTGTTAGGCATCCTCCAGTTTTTGCAAGTATTTTGGGGTGATGCGACACACTTTTTAGTACAATCCACAGTCACGTTAGAGATGTTTTAATATAATTTATATTTTTATTTTAGTTTTAACCTTTCTTTGTCTCACACGTCTTACAAAACGTGTGACACAAAAATGTTTTGCGTAGCTTATACTATTTTAAGAAGGGAAATAACCTCAAATTGGTTTGCATTGCTTATGCTACGTTGATCATACACTTTCAACGGGCCATTAGTTTTAATCATTGAAAAGAAATGGTCAAATAGAAATTGAAACTTTAGTTACTATTTTGAAACAAAATAAAGTTTGATTACTAATATAAAACAATCCTAAAATTAAGGGTGTTTGGTTTGTTATTTTCAAGTTGTTTTCAGTTTTCAATTTTGTAAAACGCCCAAAACGTGTTTAGTATGATATTTTGAAAAATGTATTTCGAAAATAAGGCTAAACTTATAACATAAAACTAAGAAAATATTTTTGATATTTTCAATGTTTTCAGTGAAAATTTTGAAAAAAACTTCAAATATGAAAAACAAGCGTTTAATTAAAATTCTAAAAAATATTTTTTTATTCTAAAAAATAAAATTTAAAGAACTCAAAAAAGTAAAATTTAATAATTAAATTGAAAATCTCAAAAACAGATTCTAAAAAAATAAAAGCCTAAAATTCTAAAAAATAAATTTTACAAAAAAATTTCTAGAAAAATAAAAATTATTAAAAAAAAAATTCAATTCCTTAATGGTTATTTATATAAAAATTAAAAAAACATACATTAAAATGAACATAAGATAAAAAAAAAAATTAAGTCCAATTTAGGAATTGAAGGTCCTAAATGAGCATGGCATGGGCCCAGTAGTCCGGTACTCATGAGTGTAGAGCTTTGACTCTCAATTGAATTTGCTGTTCAAAGTTGCTTTGCTGGCACCCTCCGTAACATCACACTCACGATGAGGAGCACTTTTTTGGAATGAATTTTGCTCCTTTGCCAGAAGACGGCTGCCTACTTGGATGACCGACCCTCACAAGAGGGT